CTGGACATTGATGCCAACGACCCGGAGGTCATGAAGACATTGGTAAAGCTCATGGGGGGTGATACTGCGACGCTTGGATGCTTTCAGTGCATTCTAAAGGCAGTGCGTTCCCCACCACCATTTGCAGGTTGATCAATACTCCTGCCCCCCAAGGGACCCAACTTTCTCGTGGCACGAACCTTTTGATCAGCCCCCATGTCCGCCATCCGTGTGAATTCGAGCTTTTGCAAGGATCGCCCTTGCATACCTCTGGCCATTCGCCTCGCTCCTAGGGAGCAAGCAAAGTAGGAAGGGAGGCAGTTGCAGAAGCAAGAATTGCGAGGCGGGGCACAATCAGAGTGCCATCAAAGCAGTGGACGACCTGTGCCTTTCTCAGCCTGCTTGTTAGAGAGTGCTTTGGTGGCACTTCTTCAGGGTGGTCTTGCAATCAGGATTTTCGGCAGCTCCGTGATGGGAAAGTTCAAGGAAGGCCCGCACAAGAGGGCAGGATGTGTGACAAACGGGCAGCTACATGCTCAAGAATGATAGTGACCTCGGCCTTTGCTTTGTCACATTGGGGGTCAGTGCAAGTTTCGTACGGCATTGCGACTGCCACAGTCTGTGAATTGAAGCGACGCATCATTAAGCACGAATTGTTTCCTCATGCCTTGACTCCAAAAGGATTTAGCCCAACTTCCAACTGACTGCCACAGAGATGAAGGTAGCCTGTTATGTGAGCAGATCATTGTTTGTGCTCGACCTTGACCTGAGCATTCCGTCAGCGCTGTCTACATTTCCTACACTATGGAGTTTGTTTTGTGGTGGACATTTGATGGTGCCATCCTACGCTTCAGCATGGACTCATCCTTGCGTAGCTTTGTTTGCGTGTGTGCGTGTATGAGCACTCCGACTTTTCCAAAGCACGAGCTGTGCAGGTGAAGAGAAGTTCAAGAAGATGACGAAGCTTGAGCTGACAAGGCCGGTCAGTTTTGTCCGCAGCACAAGGCGCAGCTGGTTGTCATAGTGTGCATGGCGTGTTTGTGCAGCAGACAGCGTGCTATAGCCAAGAAGGTTTAAATTGCGCCATGCTCAGCTCAGCTGCAGCTTGAGAGGCTCTCAACGTGCATCTTTAGACTGGCAGCTGTAACTGGCACACTGCAGTTGGCAGCTGCCTCAGCGAAGATGAGCCAGACCGGCATTTTCACCCAACGTGACCGCAAAATTCAGGCGAAGACCATCACAGGAGGCTTGTCAATGCCTCCCTTCGAGGCAGGCGCTATGTCTACTTGCAAAGTAAAGCGTTGGTCAGCGCACCTAGTGAATGACTTCTGCGCCCCAGCTTATGCGGCTTACAATCAAAGAGTCATGATTAGGGAGATGATTAGGGAGACAGTGGGCTTACAGAGGGGCTTGCGAGGCATTTGATGTCAGCAGCTCACATGAAAATATTTGCAACGGAACTGAGAGTCGAAGCAGGACATGGACAAGATTGACGTGGCTGCAGAGTGGGATAAGCTGGACCTCGGGGCAGCTTGGCATGACAACCGCTGGGCCAGCCAGCCTTGAGGGAAAACAACACGTAAACACCCTTGCTGGACGAATCTCTGCTGGATGGTGAAGTTGTGAAGTGTTTGTTTTGTTGCATCCCTTGCATAGCGACCAATGCATTGGTCAAGGATGATTCCGCGTTGGAAAACTTCATTCTGGAGGCAGGTCTTTCCGAAGTTGCAAAAGACTCAATGCTTCGTTGTCCTTTGTTTTTGCGACGAGGTGGGACGGCTTTTCCCTCCAGTCAGCTCGGTGCACCACATCGCAACAGAGTCTTGGCCAATCGAGACCGCCTTTCAGCGGTTGTTCGCTGTTGCGTGGCTGTTCTCTTCTTTTGCAGCGCGAGCTTTTGACTTATGGGCATTGCTCATATCTCTCTCTCTCTCTTTTTTTCTCCATTAGGCCTTTTAGTTTGGTTTGGTTTGTGTGCAGCCGCTTTCCGTCTTGTGGCCGAGGAGCCATTTTCTGTCACGATACAAGGCCCGGTTTTCTGGCGCTTGCGCCCCGCGGGCTTCGCTCGTTTCTTGCGCAGGCAAGACGGTGGACTTTCCGACTGGGACCAAGATCTTGGTCCCCACGCAGCTCGGCCAACATCAGGGTTGCGGGATCACTCGGGCTTTCTCCAACCACTTCTGTGGTAATTACAAGGGAATCTCCCCCTTTATATGGGGGGTTAGTCTTTGGGAAGCCTTTATGTCGTATCACAGAAGTGGTCGTTTCCCACAGCCCTGGCTAAAATGGTGGGACTTGCTTTGAGCGAGCATTGAGCGTTGGCAGGAACCTGGCCATGACTGACAAGGCTGGAGGGTGGGTGGAGCCCAGCGTCAATTGCATGCAGAATGTGCGAAGGGAAGATAAGAACCGCGCCATATGGGTATGTCTATTTTTGGTGGACCCCTTTTGTGGGGGTTGGTTTGAAGGGAAACCGAAAGGAAGCAAACCAGTTTGGACCCATATTGCCAGTGAAGATTCTGGCTATATTGTGCCTGCGGAGGAAGTCTGGGGCGTCGATGCCTTCAAGTTCAACCCCAATCGACCCGGCCTGCAGGCACTGCCGTGTGTCAGCAGAGTTGTGACATGGCAGTGCGGCAAAACTAGAAAAAACAATGAACCGAATCATTCTCAATCATTTTGAAGTAGCCCCATGTTGGAGGCGTTGCCGCAACATGCAAGTGGCCCGTAAGAAGTGGATGCTCACGTTGATGAGAATACCGGCAGCAAAGATGCGCTGACCAGATGCTGGCTGCATCCGAGAAGAGCGCGGGAGGGGGGCCAGCCGCCAGGAAAACAGCATGGTGTTTGCCAATGTCGGGCCGCTTGGTTCACGAGTTTGCCCAGGCTGGACGCAAGCACAGCAATAGCGGGCAAGCCAGCGAACACGCAGAATCAATCACCAGGGCCCCCTACTGAGCTGGCACATGTGACGCAGCGCAGGCATGCGGATAGCAATGGACACCTGCATGGGTGTCCTTTCAGTGCAGAACTCGGAGGAAACTGTTCTATCAGTTTGGCAGCTGGCTTGAGAATTCGCACCCAACATCAATGCGGAATGATGCTTTTTCATGGGTTATATCTTGAGCCTCCTAAGTCGAGTGGACAGGTCCTGGGAAAGATCCGAAGAGGCAGCTGATGCCTGGATCCTACTTGGGCTTGAGGCAACAGTGCAATCCCAGGGTTCTGCGAGCCTTGCCAAATGGATGGCACTTCAATCCCAATGCAACCATTTTCCGGAACTTAATCCGAAGATATTGCTGTGGGTCAAAACCAATGGTACCATTTGGGTAGGTGCACCACCCATTTTAGAACCTATTTTAGTGGGGACTGGGATGTTCACTGGGGGTAGGATTTGGATTTTGACCCATGGCCACATCAGATTGTCAGAGTGTGAGCGCCGAGGCGCGAATTTGTGGCATGGAGTTCTGGGAGCTGGAGCCATCGGTGCCAAAGTGAACCCTGGCATGCTGGTCTCACACATGCCCGTTGCGTCACTCGCCAGACGTCGGGGAAATGGCTGGCTTGGCTGCTCCTTTAAAATCGAGGACGCAGACCATGTCCAACTGTTTAAGCTTCAAGCGTTGTGTGAATAGCATTCAAAGCGGCGACTGTAGTTGTCACTTCGAACCAGACGCTTTGGACAAATGTTTCTGCGTCATATCGCCGTGGACGTTAAGTTGGCCAATGCCGTGTCACAGGTTTCCTCAACACTCTGATGAAGGCTCTCACTGGCAAGCTGTTCACGAGCTGTTTGAATTCTTATCAGACAGAGAGAAAGAGAAAGACAGAGAGAGAGAGAGAGAGAAAGAGTGAGCGATACAGGGAAACTGGAGCATGTCCTAGTCTTGTGTTTGCTTGGATGGAGGTTTGGCTGAGTCAAGATCCGAGCTTTGTTTTCCTTTTGTTCTCTCACGAGACGACTGAGTGGATCCAGCAAAGCAAGCAAGCTGTCGTTGATTTCGCTTTGTATACCTGGCTGCTGGAACGCTGAGCCCTGTCCGCAAGTTCCATCTCTGGAGGGGGAGCTGACGCTTGGCACACTGTCCCTCAGCCCGGCAACTCAGGGTCTTCACACAAAACATGGCATTCCAAAGCCTTGCACGAAGAGATACCTGACTTGCCTGTCAGATCAAAATAGAGAGTACGAACAGGTAGACTCGCCACAAACCTGGGCATGCTTGAGCACTAAGGTCATGGCATTTGTCGGCAAGCGCCTCGCGCGCTCGATTGCAGGCAGCGTCTTCATGGCTAGAGTCAGAATGTCGCGCACGCATCACCAGGTGCTGGCCATGCTATCAATATGTCAATTTGTTTTGGCCGTTTTTGCGAGGACAGCCGTTCATCAGACGTTATACGCACACGCGCAACATAAACACGCGCAGACCGACAGACAGGCCAAAAGACGGAGACAGAGACACACAAGGAGACAGACACAGATACAGCTACGGAGATAGAGACAGAGACGGCCGCAGAGACAAACACAGATCTGCCAGGCAGGGAGGGACATGACAGATCGAGACAGATGCAAAGACACTGAACTGCCGGTGCACAGGTATCCAGGCACACTGGCTCACAGTGCCACAGAGCCGAGAAATTTGAATTTGCCAATTTTCCTGCATGAACCACACCGCTGTCTTTGCCAAATATCTTCAATTTGACCCTGCCGAAAATACCTTGCGCAGGTGCCACTGCCTTCGGCCTGGGTGGAGCAGCTTTGGTGAAGACACCAGCGCACTGCAGAGGTCTTAGAGCACTGCTTCGATGACAGAAGTCCTTCATGTCCCAGCCGGCAAAATCTGAACAACTTCCAAGGTGATGACAAGGATCCTCCACACCCACCGCACCGAGCCGAGCATTTGTTCAGCCTTGTGCGTTTTCTGTGTCGTGCATTTGCTGGCCGAGCGCAGGCGGTACCCCTTTTGGGTCAAGTCGATTTTCCATTCTCACGAAATTCCGAGCGTGCGCCGGGCACCCAAGCGCTGTTGTGCTTCAGCTTGTCAATTGCTGGTGAAGCTGACATGCTGTGCGCTGGAGGTCGTGGGTATGAGGTCTATCGGCAGGCAGAGAGTGCTCATTTGCCCTTCGGTGATTTGAAGATTTGCGAGCGAGTCTCGGCAGGTATGTGCAACCTGCCACTCTATGAAGCAGCCAGGGCCACAATCACATGAGGCTGGCGCCGCTCCTTATCCCGGATCGACAGGCTTCACTTCAGACACCTGTCGAATTTCGTCCTGCCTGAGAAGCGGATGAAGGACTCGCGTTGGCCATGCACACTTGCATTTGATGCTGGAGCCTGTGAACGACTTTGAGTTGGCTTTCAGTGATCTGCACAGGAGATTGCTGCAAGCTATGATGTCGTTGATGGGCCGAACGACGAAGGTCAGCTGCATGTCCTATCCTACCATATATGATTTCTGATCTTACTCAAAGAGAGATCGTCACAGATCCTTGTAGGAGAGATGTTCACTCGCCCTGGCATCCTTGTGGATGCCTTCCCTTCGCCATACCCAAACGAAGAGGCAACGACTTGGATACAGCTGGAGTGCTTGCCTCCGCTCGCTTCAGGCTGCACGCTATGCAAACGGTGGTGCCAACCCGTGCGCCCGGGTCTGAGAGACGCATCCAAACCAAGCGGATTGTGCCAGGCCGGACCTCAGTGTGTACACCACCGCCAAGCACGAAGGCGACTTCTTACTCACATGGCCATGGGTCAAAATCTCGTATCCTCAGTGAACATCCCAATCCCCACTAAAATGGGTGGTGCACCTACCCCAAAATGGTGCCATTGGTTTTGACCCACAGCTATATATTTGCCTGATTGACTGGACATAACCGATGTTTGGATTGGTTCCCTTCATTCCACGAATTGCTTGTAAGCTCTTATTGTCGCACTGAGCATGGTCTTTGTGAGAGTTGTTTGGAGGCGGACTTAACCTGTGCTTGCCAGTGTTTGCCAAGGTGTGGACTACATCTTTGCGCTGCTGCTTGGCTACCGAGCTCGATCCTCAAATCGAGCAGGTGTGCAATCTCTCAAGCATAGGTCAGGCAAACCCCACCGGAAGGAAAACAAAGACTGATTGAAGATCCTTACAGATGGCCTTCAGGAGGCCATCATGAGTCAGCCAATGGTTCTGCGCTGCGGTGCGCTGATTTGGATCAGCTGGGTGGCCTTCGTGCGAGGATCCTCCTGCAGGCATCGAAGTGCGCGACGGTTTGTACTACAATGTGCCGCTTGCCTATGGAGATTGCGCAATTCACCAGTTGGCACGCAAGCAGAGCATGACTTTCTGTGCTGTGTTTGTGTTGATGCCCCACCAAAAAGACGGAAAATGAGAGAATGGACGACATTGAGCATTTACAGCATGGTGTTTTGTAACCTCCACAGACGACTAAGGTACTTCCCTGGAGGAGATCTGCTTTGGTGTGTTCAAGAAATGCTGTTGAGTGTTAATGAACAAGTTGGAGGGGCAGAGTGCACGTGCAACCTCGGCTGCAACTTTGTCCGGAGTGAAGCCAGGACTCATTGGAATGCCCAACCCTCTCCACGCTGATGGTCTTGTCGACTACGAGGCAGTTCCAGCCGTTGGCCTTGGATCGGGGACGCAGATAACACAACTCTTGTGCTTGGGTGTATCGATGCAGGATGGCACGCCTTGCACCAAGTCCCAAATGGCAAAGGATGCGTGGGGGCCTGGTCAAACGTAGGTGGATCTTGTGCTGCTGTATGGAGCAATTCCATACAGCACCAGACGCAACTCGTCAACTGAGCCTGCAGCTGGAGTTTGTTGGAAGTCATTTAAGTTGGGCTGTGGCGTCCTCCTTTTTTTTCAAGATCGAAACAGGGAGGTTGTCCATAGTACATTGCATTCTATTCGAGCACAATAGGGAACACAAGCATGACAATTCAAGCAGGAGCTTTGCGACCAACATTCAATACGGGCACAGGGTACTGCTTTAATTTCCCACGGCCTGCAGGGAAGGAATCAGGAATCCTTGATACTGGCGCCCAAGCCTGATCAGCATGTGAACGCATGCCGCATGGCGGATGGAAGGGTCCAAAATCAATGCCCTGCCTGGTTTTGACCACTCGCCAGCAGACCTGAATTTCAATCCGGAACTCCGGACGCCTGACTTTTCTGGCCCAGCCCCAACCATCTAAACATCTCCGCCAGATCCATCGCTCCCCGCCCAATTGCCAGATCCCCAGATCCGTCGCGAGGTGGTGAACTTCCTGTGCTGGGCCTCTGAGCCGGCACACGATGAGCGGAAGCTGATGGGCCTCAAGGATGGGACTCGATCCGTCTCGAGAGAATGGAGCCCGGTGAGATCGGGTGAGAGGGCCCTTTCTGACGCACGGCTCAAATATTTTTTGCTGGTGGCCTGGTGAGTTTGGTGTAGGTAGTGGGAGTTGTGACTCGATGTGTTTCCCATTGGCCGTGCTCTTTTGATTGGCCTGGGCTGGGGGGCAAGAGGCCAGAAATGGCCGGTTAAGGCCATCGTCGTTGTGGTTGTGTGTTTTTTTAGGGGGCCAACATGGTGGTTTTCCTTTTGGTTTCGCTTTGAAGCCACAACAACGGGGGCCTCAAAAAATGACAGACATGTGTGTGCATGTGTGTGTGTGTGTTGCTGCTGCTAAAGAGTTGGTGGAGCTCTATTGCAGTGCACCAGCTGATCCTGGGACATCCTGTGACCTTTGAATTACATTGCGGACGTGCTGTCACTCTGTCTTTGTCAACTCCTTCGGTAAGCCACGCAAAGAGAAATTCAGAATCTGGCAATGCAAAGGAATTTGCGACTTGACGCCGGCCAGGCAATGTCCGCCTGCCTAATGGGGACTGCCATCGTTGGCTTCTGGTACCGATCCATGTGGATTGGGCACCGCCAGCCTGCTTGAACGATTTGTTTGCTCAATGGTGAATGGGGCACACTTGAATGGGATAATCCTAGCAACTGTGGGATGCACGAATCCGCATGATCTAAAGCTCCTCATACCGGGCTGGTTTCCTGTGGGCGTTCATTTCAAAGCCGTCCGTGTTTCGCATTTACCAGCATGCCACTTGCATCTGGGCCAGGTTCAAGACCCGGCGTATTGATTTCACGAAGGCCGTCATGCTGGGGCCATACGCAGAGAGACAGCAGCTTCAGAGTGGGCAGGCCTGACACGCAAACCATTCAGAGTCTTGATATTTGCAAAATCGGACAAGAGAGTGGCGTGAATCCATCAGGAACGCTTTGACCAGAATTACAATTGCCCTCCAAGGTAATCGGTCGTGCAAACGGAGTGAACTGCTCGAGACCGCTTTTGTAGCGAGACGCGGGAAACGCACATGTGCGTGCATCAACTCACTTGTGCACATATAGATATAGGCCCCACAAGCAGTACACTCTGATGCTAGCATGGAGCATCTGCAGACCGGCCAACCCTTCAATTGACTTGAATCCTCACAGACTGGTTTTGGTGAAGAATGGCTGTGGACGTTTTTTTGCTGGAGAAAAGTGATGAGCGCCGTGCCACTATGCCAATGTAACTTGCAATTAGTTTGGAACAGGAGGTTCAATCAGAGAATGTCAAGTTCATGTGGCTGGCACTTGCGGGTAAGAAGGACGCTGGACCGCTTTGTGTCCAGTAGTGAGGGCCGTGCTTGCATCTTGATTGGCTTTTGTGCGATATGGGTTCAAGCCAAATTCAGCATTCGCATGTTACAAACCCTTGGCATTCACAGATGCATGTGACGGACAGAATTGCATGAGTCAAGCACAATGACATGTCTTACAGTGTTACTATAGGACCCTTATGCGTGCCTGAGTGCTGAGTCTACCGCAAAATTGACCCCAGCACCGAATTGAGCTGTCACTCCAACGGCACTTTCGAAGAGCCTGGAAACGCCATAACAGAACTACACTCCCGGTGGACTGCCTGTAGGGGCCTAGATGAAGCATGGGCAACGCCGGCTCAGTCAGGCGCTCCAAGCCTGTGATGAGTTCCTTGGAGTGAAGGCTCGCCCCTTCCAATCTGACACAATAGGTGCACCGGCCTGCGACCAGCAACTCCAAGATTGCAGCCAACACGTAAGTTGAAACTGTGATTCTTTGTGCAGCCAAGGTTACCTGGTGCGCCTCGGCGGAAAAAAGTTGCGCAAAAGCATTTGATGGCATCTTGTGGGGACCCTCCATCAATTGCGCAAGCAAGTACTGGAAGCAAGTGTCATCCATGATCACTTCTGCCGATACATTTCTCGCATGAGCAGAAGCGGATCCATTTGAGTTTGTCCCACGAGGAGTGAATTCAATCGCCTGAAATCCCACGGCGTGGATGGGGAGGCACAGGGCCGGTCATTTGATTTGGCTTTGATCCCCGGGCGGAAGGCAAAGGGACGGGTGAAGGCCGCCGGCCGGCCGCAGAATATTTTTTTTCAGTTGGGACCGTCACTTGGGGGCGGGGCCGTCATGCAATATTAAAGCAGACCCAGAGCTGCCAGGCCGTGTGGGGCCAGTGGTTTGCTGCCTCTGTTGCGTCATCGAACATCAACGGGGTGTGGCTCTCAGTCCTCCGCTTCCTCCAGCCTTGGAAGATAGCTTGGATGAGGCGTAGCATGCGTTTTGCCGCTTCAAATTGATCCGTTTCAAGGCCGGCCCCGTACACATGTACAAGGAGTATTCACCTATGCAAGCATTGGTGCAATTTGTAGAGTTGTTTGCTATGTCCAATCCATGCGGATGTAGGTAGGATGGGCATCTCGTTTGATCCCTTGGAATCTGTCCAGTCGACTCTCAGCGGCTGTTATTCCAAGGCCTCGCTGCCACAAGCCTATACCCACGTGGAGGTAGGGAAGGGGGTTACAAAGTGATTGTCAAACTGCTGGAAACATCCTTGATTGTCTTGGAACAGAGCAAATCTCAGCGTCTTTGAGTCATGCCTCATTTCATAGATTCCAAGGGACAATTGAACCTATCAAATGATGCACTGGATGTAGGTAGCGTTGCGGAAGAGCTAGATGAAAAGTCGCTCAGCGCAACATGGTTGCCCGACTAAGATCCCTTTAAAGGCGTTTGCACACTTGGCTTGTCGACTGCTTGGCTGACTTGGTAGCCATGGCATCATGTCGAGCGGAGTCCCTCATCAGAGTTGCTGTTAGTTATAAGATGCAAGTTCACACTTGGTTGGGGAGTCATGTCAGGGAGCTCTCATGTGGGCAGGAGCCGGTGCTGACACTGGCATCCCTGCAGAAGCTCAACACCCCAGAGGCGACTCCAGCTGTGATTGTAGCCGTACTGGAGGTGTACTGACTACGCTTCGCCGGCTGACATTTAGTGGTTGCCTCCAGGTTCCTTGTGTACTCATTCCGCGTTTGCCTAGTAGCTGCGAAGCGCCTGCGCTTGTTAGGATTTCCTCCTGGATTTCCGGCACATTGCCACCCTTTGGAAGCTGGACGCCAACCATGACGGCGTCATCACCTTTGAGGAGAATGCCAGTTCCAGTCTCGTCAATGCGGGTGTGTAGGAAGCTGCGGCAAGAAGCCGAATCGAAGGTGCAATTTTTCGGCTACTCGTTTTCACTATGGAGTCATTTTGATGTGTCTTTCCTTGCCTATCATTTCCCACATCTAACTCTTGGAAGTTGAAAAGGAAGGACATGAGAAACAAACAAGACTTCATAAGATAGTAAAAGATGAAACACAATGAAGATAAACATATAACAACAAGAACAATATGATAAATATAAAGCAAATAAGAAGGTAATCAAATAGAATTAAGTTGTAGAATATATTAATAGTAAAGAAATACAACAGTAAATAATAAATCATCAATAAGCAATAATAAAGTGAGTTTGGCTACAGTGATCTTATGCTGGGCGGGCGACGTCTTCTTTGTGGTCTGCATGTCCGGCGAAACATCTGCTGAAAGCCAGGAAGGCCGATGCGACGGACCTGATGGCGAGGTGCTCAAGTCCATCCTCCGTGGCCCAGGAATGCGACGTTGAGCTGTTGAGCCTGGCTGAGTGTGGCATGGGTGAGCTCGTGAAGCGGCTCCAGCCGAATACTGGCACTTGAGGGGGCGATGAAGGTCAAGGAGTTGGCCTACATCCATGCAGAGGGCTATGTGATCGCAATTCCCGAGAGCCACGAGCTATTGATGCCGCTTCTTGCAGCCATTCCTTTGCAGCTCTTGGCCTACTTGATGGGTTTGTTACGGGCCTTGTCAAGACTGTGTCCAACAGTGGTAGGGGGATCAGTGGTGCCAGTGGTGTCAGTGGAGTAGACTGCTACCTGCATAATATGGCAGCTTCGCAGTTCCCGCACTCCTAATCTATTCATGACCGCGAGTATTTAAAGAGTTATTATGAACAAGGCCTTGTTGATGAATCGTCCTTTGCTTATGCTGGGCTTGTCCCGTGATAGCCCCGACTCTAGCCAAAGCCCATGGCCCTTCAAAGGCCATGACAATGCCTTCAGTGATATGGAAGGCCGTGGTTCCAACACCAAGCCGCACATAGGTGCCTGGGCGCTGGTGTGCGCTGGTGGTGGTTCCCAGGGCGAAGAGGCAAAAAACATAGTCTCAGAGTCCTTCTTGAACGCTGCAACCTTTGCGCAATCCGGTTGTTTTTGGCAAAGCACCCCCCGGTGCAACCCTTGTGAATCCGTTTTATGGACGGCCCACTCAGACGCTAGGAGTTCATCAACTTCGCCGAGTTCTGCAACGACCAGCGGATGATCCTCGGAGACCTGGAGCTGTCGCAGAAGCTCAAGGTGCGCCTCCCGCTCGGGTGAGAAGGAGGTTCTCGAGCCCCCGGTGTCCCGACCGTATCTAAGAGTCAAAGGCCGACCTTGCCAAGACGTGTCTGAAGCTAGCACACAGATGCAAGACGCATTTGGCAAAGCGTTTCTATCTGGTTCAACCAAGGCCAAGGCCAACAGGCCAGTTGAAAGCGACGCGGAGAAGTAACTGGTGTATGCTCCATACTGGCCTGTTTGCACTTTGGAATTCACATAATTTGGCAAAGTGTCATTGCCCAAAGTTTGACAGAGTGTGAAGCATGTTCGCACCATGCAAAAGAAGGCTTCCAAGATGTGGGTGTGAATGCTCTTCTTTCACGCTGTCAAGTCAGCCTGGCGCAGGCGCTGTGCGTTATGGACATGGCCGCAGACACCTATTGCGAGTGCAGGCCTCGGAACCAGTTCCTGCCTTGACGCTTCTGATTGTTTTGTCATGCGGTTGATGAATCAGGATGGTGCGTTTGTGTGAGAGGCTCAATTGATGGGTAACATAATCGCCCCTTGTGTAAGGGCAGGCATTTTCTAGAAAGCTAAAGTAGCCTCCGCACCAGTAAGCAACCAACCCGCATGAGGGGGCTTTGGCATGTGTTTGTGTGTGTGTGGTGTTTGTGTGTTGTGTGTAGGCCAATCTTGTCTGGAGTTGCACATATGCACAACTTGAATCTGCATGACGGGCGCTGCAAGTCGCTCCTTGCCTTTTTACAGCCACGCCTTGAGTCGTACATTGATAGCCAGACTGGTGGCTAGGCATGGTCGCTCATGTTAGCACATCACCACATACTTTGTAGGCCAAGTATTGAGACAAAACATATTGGACCTACCACGTATGCTGCAGCAAAGCTGGAAGACGGAAGTGTCTAACCAACAATGTGCCTATAGGAGATGAATGTTTTCGTGGATCATCTCTTCTCTTCTCTTCTTTCTCTTCTCTGAGCATCTCGTGTTTTTTCTTCTCTTTGTCTTTATCTTCCTCTTTGTCTTTTCTTTCTCTTCCTCTTTCGCTTCTTCTTTCTTGTCTTCTTTCTCATCCTCTTTCTCTTCCTCTTCTCTTCCTCTTTATCTTCCTTTTTATCTTCTCTTGTCTTTCTCTTTTTCTTCTCTTTTCTTTCTGTCTCTTCTCTTCTCTTTCTCATTCCCTTCTTTCTTTCTTTCTTTCTTTCTTTCTTTCTGTCTTTCTTTCTTTCTTTCTTTCTTTCTTTCTTTCTGTTTTTTCCCGCATTCCTTTCTTTCTCTCTCAGTCTTTCTCTTTCTCTCTCTCTTTCCATTTGATTTATCTAGCTATCTAGCTATCTAGCTGTCTAGCTATCTATCTGCGCCTGACCTTGCGAAGTGCTGCGCTTGCCGCGAAGTTTGTACCTGACCTTGCGAAAGTTCTGCGCCTGTCATGAAATCCGCACCTTGGGGTGCGAAAATCATGCGCCTGCCACGGAATCGAGACGCAGCAGTGCGCTGGTCCAATGCGATCGCGACGCTTCTCAAAGTGCTGCGTCTGCCACGTGATCTGCACGTCCGATCCGTATTGTGCACGCGCAGGCCACTGGGGAACGTCCCAGCCCGCGGCAAGCCCGCAGCGAGACCGGGCGCTGAACAGAGTATGCTGCGCCTGCCACACAATTCCTTCCTTCTCCATCTCCTTCTTTGCATTTCTTGCTTACTTTACCGTCGCACTCTCTTTGCGCGACTTTTTGCTTCAACTTTTCGTACTACGCAAGTTTTCCAACGAAACTACTGTGCAGTAATCTCGCAGCTGATAAGTTTGAGATGCACTGAGGACTGGCCAGAACTTTTTTGTGGACTGGCTGTTGAAGATGCTTGGCACAGAAGGATGAATATGAGTTTTACTAAGCTGCCAATTTTGAGAACATGGGACTTGAAACATATTTCCTGCTAGGTGCTCCAAATTGTGTCGATAGATGCAATGTTTATTTTGCCGCCTTTTTGTTTGCTGGACTCCGGAGCCGCGTGCGTTTGGTGTCTGAAAGCTGCACTGAGGCTGGTGGCGCAGGCTCGCACATTGCTATATCGCCTCAGTGCCTTGAAGCCACAAATGCTGATGACTTGCTCCCAAAAGGGACCCCTCTCCCTTCTTGACTTGAAAGCAGTGTGAGTGTTGCTCGTTGCTTATTTAAGATGGCCATAGTGCACAGTCTCAAACAAATGCAGCAGCATGTCTCTATGATGACGCGGCAGCCCCCAACTACAATGGAACTGAAACTCTGGCATCGCCTTGTTGCTACAGGACATGTCTCCTCGTCCTTTCCGAATGATGAGAATACCGGTGTGGTACACAGACTGTGAACAATGATATGCCTTGGTGTTTTGTGTGTGTGTGTGTGCGCACATCACCGCGCAACTGCTTTCTTCTGACCACTTTGAAAGGTCAATCCTGATGATCATGTGGGCCGACCAACCTTCTTTGTACACATGGATTGTGCGCGGACCTCAATTCCTGAGAGCTGTAACCGGGGAAGTTCAGGGAGTATAAATTTTATACTTACAAGGGGGGCCACCAGCCTAGGTGAAAGCGCGGGGGTGGGTGAGGGTTTGGGGGGGAAACTGAGTGAGCCAGCAGATCACCAGTTGCTCAATCGATCCCCTGTTGATCATCTAGCCAGATCTTGTTCACAGAGTTGGGTTGCCAATCGGTTTAGACGGAGTGGATTCTCAGGTGATGAACCTCTACAATCTGCTTAAGCCGTCGCAAATATCTAGCCACTTGGGCATGTTCTAGCCTCGGCTTCCTTGATGGCCGAGCCATGGAAGATCAACAGCACGAAGCGAGCCCCGTGCTGAGGCAAGACTTTGTGGATCTTCTGCATCAAATGGGGGAGACCATGAATCTGCAGCCGCTGATGATCAAGGACTGAGCTGTCTTTGGCATCTGAAATCTCAGCAGGTTTACGCCTGGCATGAGGACCTTGATGAGTGGGTGCAAAGCCTAGCATGTGCTTTGCCTCCGAGCCTCCCCTGAGCTTCCCATGCTTCAAAGTGAGTTCCGGAGGTCCCTTTGGAAGTGGTCCACACCTGGCTGAAGCGCTTCATATCAGTTTGCTCCTCAGCTGTGCTTGCAAGCCTTCGTCTATCCAAGATTGTCATGGATGCATTTGTTTTGCCTGAGGCGTTCACAGAGTTGTACAAAGAGCTTGGCTTGCTGGCGGAAGCATGACAATCTTTCGGGCTTTCAGCATCGAGCACAGTGTATTTAGTCAATGCCATGCTTCTCGGAAAACAAAGAACACACGAGGCTCCAACCACGTCTATTGCTTGCGGAACAACAGCGCTTGCTAGAGGTGTATTGCATGCCGTGGTTGAACAGCCACTCCGAATCTGCAAGAGCCAGAAGCACGGAGACAGCCTATAGCTGTACCCGATAGCTTCTGCCATCGTGCTTGAATACCAAAATAGCTAGGGCTGAGATGCGCAGCGCGTATTGAATCACATTCACCTTGGGACGTGTTCCAGTGGTAGGCGAAGCCTTCGGCCTTTTCCTATGCCTTAGAATGAACTATCCGACCCGAAAGCCTGGCTGAGAGCAGGGGTCTGAATGGTCATTTGCCCAGACGTGCAATTCGCTGGCCTTGCTCAGCTGCATAGCATATTAGCAAAGGCTTGCCCAGGGCCCCAACCCAAACACCTGCAGCTTGCTCTTGACGCGTTGAGCAGTTCAGGGAAGCGGGAAATCTTGGCAGGCAGCTTGGTTGGACAAGCTTAAGTGTAGTATACTGACAGAAACAAGTACGACTGACACATACAGTTGCACTAGAAAGTGTGTCTGGCTCGCGGCCGTTGCTGCTTCAAGTCCGGCAGTTTGCACCTGCTGTCCGGCAGTTTCAGTTCCAAGTGGCACCTTTGATGTTTTGCCATGACGCCAGAAACTTCGAGCTCTCTCCCAGATTTGCCTCCGCACTAGTGGAAGGTGGCACTGGGGTGGGTTTGTTGCAAAGGGCCCAGGAGGAGGTGACACGTCGCGCCCACCAGCTGTGGCTAGAAACCGGTCGTGCTGATGACAAGGCGAACTGGGAGGATGCTGAAAGAACGCTGGTTCACTGGCGCAGGTTGCACGAAGATCTGCCAGTGCCGGAGGAGCCAGCCGACTCTTGGGATACGACCTCACAGTCAAGCTTTTGCCTTGCCTACGAGAAGATGGCCCTTGAGGACATGGAAGTGGAACCTTTTAACAAATTCTAGTAGCATTTTGCAGCTGCTGCTCAAGGCATGGTTTGTCGCCGGCGACGTGCATCCTTGGGACTTGCCCAGTTTGGATGAAATCCACCATCTTTCAATTCTCTTGGCAAGCTGAGGACTATGTCAATGTGAGCCGCGAGGAGCTCATGGACCTTTGCGTGGCTCTGCAGGTGAATCTCCGCCAGGCCAAGACTGCGCTTGGCGAAGAGCGGAGCGCCGTGAAGGCTCTGCGGACGGAGTTGCGAGGGGATGCCTTGCTGCACAAGCCCCGGGTCCTGCGTTCAAGGATTGATTTCTTTTGGATTCCTTGTCTTTCTTGGGGCGAAACAGGGCTGGTCAGCTCTTTGACAGGATATGTTGGAGATAGCGAGGATCCGGCAATGATGGTAGAGGGAAGCAACTGCCTCCGCGAACAAAGACATTTCCGGTATATAGACACTGATTCAAGAGGCTGCTGCCGCCGACTCCTGCAATGAAGCAGCACTTGACCAAAACCTCCGTGCAAGAAACCCGTTTCTCACAAGCTTTACCAGGTTGTCATTGCAGCCCACGGCATGTTGGCTTCAAGGACACCTTTGGTTAGGAACGGGTCCTGGAAGGTCCTGGGACAGGTCCTGGGACGGCACAGGAACCGGAGGGGGTTGCCAGATTCAGGTTGGACATGTTGCACTCTGTGCTTCTGAATGTGTGCGGGCGCGCCGTGTGGGCGTTTGTGTGTGTGTGTGTGTGGGTGTGGGTGTGGGTGTGGGTGTGGGCTGTTATATATATATATATATATATATATATAGAAAGGTGTATATATATATGCACATATGTGCAATATATATATATATATATATATATACATGTGTTCCAGGCCGTGGACCCCCAAGGGTAGGGCCCGTTTAAGCTTTAGGGTTGGTTTAGGGTTAGTTGGGGTGTGGTTTGGGGTTGGTGTAGGGTTGGTTCAGGGTTGGTTTAAGGTCCGTTTGGGGCTGGTTTAGGGTTGGTTTACGGCTAGTTGGGGTTGGTTTGTTTGGGATTGGTTGGGTTTAGGGTGGGTTTAGGGTTGGTTTAGGGTTGGTTTACTGTGGGTTTAGGGTTGGCTTAGGGTTGGTTTAGGGTTGGCTTTGGGGGCCAAGTCTACGACGGGGTGCGTGTTCAGGGGGCCCTTCTTGGGGGGGGGACAGGCGGGCTGGGGACTGGAACATATGTTCCAGGCTGTTCAATAGTTTGAAGGCGACGGACCTGAATATGCATGTTGAACCAAGGAACGCTCTCGCAGCCAACACCTTTCTGCCAAGCTGATTGCAGCCGAACGCCGGTGCATGGAGAAGTCTCCATGCGGACGAGCAGGGAGAATAGACATCCCTGCTTTGCCTCTCAGTTTGGACAAGGTCCGCCAGGTGGAGCATTTCGATTTGACACCAAGGGCTCGGACAAGGAAACGAGCCTTGCGATGCGCAAGCAGCACATCTGGTAGTGACTGCGAGGCTTGCGAGATTCAGAGCGCTGCAGAAAAGGACGGCTCTCCCAGAGAGCTATGGTGGTACTCAACAGACTTTGAGCAGGACACAGACCTCTGCATGCTCCATCATGAATCTAGCACGATGGAACCGGAAAGCTCGGATTGCGTTTGCTACGCGACAAGCATGCGGTGCACCATCAATCAAGAAGGCACTGTGTGGCAACTGCTCGCTGCTGTTCATACGATGTCATGACCAGAATGCAAGTGGACACCGTTCCTGTTGGAATAAATCCCGGTTCAGCAACTAAACACTGCGCAGAAACTAAGTTGTATAAACCAAAAATGAAGCGATTCAGGAACTACAAGTTCCGATTCAGGAACTAAACGTGACTCGGCAACTTCGGTTCAGCAAAAAAGGGGCCGATACAGAACAATTCAGTTCAGCACCTATCCAGGCCCGATTCAGCAACAAAAAGACCCGATTCAGGGGAACGTAAAATGTCCGCTTCAGCGGCTACAGTGGCTAGCTCTACTATTGCTATTGGGGATAGTGGGGTTGGGGGGTGAGGGGGTGTTCGATTGAAATCTGTAGAAGAACATGATAGGGCGGCCCAGCACCACTTGGGAAAAGTATCACGATCGCGAAAATGACGGTGTGAGGACGGTGCGATGTAGGATGAGGGTGCGATGATGATGATGGTGCGATGATGATGATGATGATGATGATGATGATGATGATGATGATGATGATGATGATGATGATGATGATGATGCTGATGCTGATGCTGATGCTGATGCTGATGATGATGATGATGATGATGATGATGATGATGATGATGATGATGATGACGGCGCTGACGATGATGATGACGATGACGATGACGATGGCGATGATGGTGGTGGTGGTGGTGGTGATGGTGATGTTGATGATGATGATAATGATGATGATGATGATGATGATGATGATGATGATGATGCATCCTCAGCAACATACAGTTGAATTGTCAGTGTAACAATGATTTGTTGCCAGCCCTTTTCGCAGGAGGGTGTCGGTGAGTTTCCCAATAAAACTGTTAAACTTCCTGCCGCCTGTCGCCTGATTGCCTTGCCCCTTTGTTGAGAGCCAAGTTTTGCCCAGCTGGGAATGCAGGATTGCCTGAGAATTTCAGTCCCTGCAGGTGGCATGGTTTACTTCCAGGACTCCGAAAGTGAGGATGACTATGTTTGGCATCCGGGCCACGGTGGAGGCACTCCTCCGCATCGAGGCCAGCTGCTCAGTTGGGGTTGCTAGAGTTGAACCTGAAGCAAAGCACCAACAGGCACGTCACTGGGAGTTGAGCATTGGATCTACGGCGAGGGCTTTTTCAAGGCTCATTCTCAATCGCCTAGCAAACGCGATTCATTGTTTCAAGGGCAGGTTAGCTAGTTTGATGGCCCAGGCAGCAAAGATGATATGGAGTTCTTTTTCCCCTCCGCCGAGTGACCTGGCGGATGGTGGAATCGCCATTCCTCCATTGAGATCCGCACAGACAAGGCGTGCAGCCTTGGTCAAGCCAACAGATTGTACGTCTATTCCTTGGTGTCCATGAAGGATGATAAATCACCAGTCATCCATGATCTGAATGAATGCTTGATGTCATTCCTGGCGATTGCCAGTTTTTCCATGGATAGTGTTTTCAAGCTGCTTGAGACACTTTTGGCAGTTGAAAATGCTGTGGGCTTTTACCAGCTGGACAAATCAATGGTTTCCTGCTCTCACTTGTGTGAGGCGGAAAGTTCGTGGCGCGGGCTCTCCGCATTTCCAGTGTTTTAGGCCTTGGGCAATGGAATGACTAGAAGAGCCTCCTACGGGATCGAACTCTGGACGTAAGGCCGTTCTGAGCATGAGAACATATTTTGTGAATACTGTCGGATTGCTTTTGGGGAGTCGAGCCTTACATGCCAGCAGCTGGTAACACCACATACTAAAGTCGGAAGAGGAATTTGAATGAACAAACACGCTTCATATAGATCATATACACTTGACTTGATAAAATATGCTTGACATGAAAACCATTGTATTGGGAGATTTTGGACAACTGAAAGAAAGATATTCGCAACTTTTGTTAATGATTACCTTCGGGAATACATCTTCTTCCAACAATGAAACACATACATAATAATATTATTGTGTGTGAAATGTTATAGAAGATATAGATAATTTATAATTAAGATTGGAATTTATATAGACATATTTCTATAATAATAAAGTTATAGTGATATATAAATTATTTAAAATTGAGGAAGCATCTAATATGAATTTTGAATGTATAGATGGTCATCTGGTTTAAACAAAAAAACAAAAAACATGTTAAACACATATAATATGCTTTATGTTGTTTGAATGAACAAATTTTGAAATTATTGAAAACATATATATATATATGTGTTGGATTGTTTTTGAATTTATAATTTAAATTAAGTGTAGGTATTATATTGAACATAAAATGATATAAAGATATAATTTTAGAAAGAAATAGATATTGTTTTAAACATTAATATTTTGAGTAGAACATATGATTGATTGTTAGATTGAGAAAATTGTGTGTGTTTTTGATGGGGAATAAACAATATGAATTGAATTTAGATTATTGTGTTTGATGGTTGGATATATTTTGATTTGAAAATGATTTTTTTTGTTTTTGGGAGTAGGTTTAATTTTTATAATTTGAATTAGAGGTTTGATCAATTAATAAAAATATATTCAAGACGTATTCATATATATATATTATATTTAAAGATATAACATAGGTAAAATATGTTCGAAAAATCATATTATTTTGTAAATGTGATTTTTGATGGTTTATTATATCTCCAGAGCTTGGAAATTGGATATTATTGCCCTAAAAGCATGAATATTTAATTCGTAGGTTCTTGAACAAAGAATAAACTGATTATTAAGATTAATTTGGTTTAAGAATGATTTTTGTGAATATTTGAGATTATTAAATTAACATATTATTATTTTAGATGATTTGAGGATTGAATTTCTTGCTGCAGAAATAATCTTAACATATTAATGGACCATATATATTTTGGAGAAAGAAAAATAATTGGAAAAACATGGCTGTGGGTCAGAACCAATAGTACCATTTTGGGGTAGGTGCACCACCCATTTCAGTCTATTTTAGTGGGGATTGCGATGTTCACTGGGGGTACGATATTTTGACCCATGGCCAGATATTCTTCCAAGGAATAAAATATATAAATCTTAAATAAACATATTTTCCGGAATACGATATTGTTACAATTCGATTTTTATATCTTTCTTATTGTTTATTTGTTTTTATAAATATATTTCTTCGCGCGATTGTATATTTAATTATCGGGAAAAACAACTTAGAGAGTTGAATTTCTAATCGACCAAATTTATCAATATAGAAAGAAAAGAGAATGATGACGACATATGAAAATACAATATTGAATTCCGATTTTATCTAAACAATTAGTTAGATGACGAAAATATATCAATTTATGATCATCTAATATTCTTTATATATATATGTATATAATTACTTATATTTTTACATATAGCGAGCCAACAAAAATGTAAAAGAACGAAAAGAAAAAAAGCGAACATATTTCGTTAATCTATATATTAATATAAATGTTTATAATAAGAACTATATTTATAAAGCAAATATGTGATGTTTTTCTGGTAAATAAATTCAATTTCCAAAATAGTTCAAGCAAATAAACTATTATCTCAAAATGAATTAAATTCTTAAGAAGAAATACCATTATGCAAAATTGTATTTTTAGAAGAACTATATTTCTAATAAAATTAAAATCAAACATTACTATAACAATTCATCTATAGGCAAAATAGAGCGTCGGCAAGTTATTGTATTATTTATAATATATATATATATAATATTTATATAGTATTATTAATTTAAATTAACTTACTTATATCATAATTCAACCAATTGAAATATATATATATAACTTATTTAATTAATAAGTGTTTGGCAATTCAGTAATTTAATATCTCAGGTAATTCTGTTCATAATGATAAATCGAGATAATCGAATTTATAAATAACAAAATAGAATCGATAGACGAAATGTCATCCACCCACAACCCAGCGCCGCTTTAGGCACGGAGATCGTGTTAATGGTGTCCAAACCAAAGAAAAAAAACAATATATCGAGAATCTTGATCCAAAAGACATAACATTATCATGCTGCTGAAAGAGATAGCAAAGCAAAAATGATGCTGAGTAAAACAATCACAAATCAAAAGATTTCGTTAAGCCCAAATATTTTCAAAAGATTTGGCGTGCTTTTCATCCATCATACGAGCAAGGCATCAAAGGAATGTTTCCCCTCAGTATCTAATTCCCCCGATTTGTCCAAACCAGAGCTCGTAACCAATAATCTGTGCAACATATCGAGTACGCACATCGTTATGAGCGCGCTTATGCTCGGCATGTTGGCGCGCCGCGAGTATTTCCTCCTACAACTACACTCAAGATATGAGATGAAAAAGGAGAAATAACCACTATATCAAGAGCCAACCGGGGGAAAACAACACCAAGATAATTGAAAGGCTTGTGGGGCTCCCATCATCAAAGCATCGGCATCTCGAAAAAGGGGACCAGCAGGTAAAGGGTCGAAAGCTTCAAAGAAGGTCGTGCCATAACCTACAGGGCCAAAGAAAATACAGCATTCTTCAAAATTGTGCGAATAGTTTATTTGTGCCCATGTCCCATATAATAGGAAAACATGGTGGCCAGTTGAGGAGAGGGTGAACGAAAGTTAGCCACATGAACGAGAGCTAGCCATTGTTGTATGAGACGGGTCGGAAATAGCCTCGATTCCATAGGTAACTTGCGCACCATGAGAGGCGCCATGAAGATCCTAAAGAGGCTACACGCAAACTGACATGGTGGCCCGGCAAACCGTGAAAAATGAGAATAGCGAAAGGTGTCTCAAGCCGTCTTAAAGCACCCCCTGGGTTCTGCATATGGCTTCCTCCAAAGTGTTTTCCTAAGAAGATTGAAACAGAAAATGGATTCGGCTATGCAGACCGGATGCTCTGGAAATTGGTTTCCGGGTCCAAATCAAGGGGGGTGGACAAGGGGGGATTCGAGCCCGGGAAGGGGGGAGGAAGCAAAATAATTGATTCTTGCAATCTTTTTGGCTCGAAAAAAACATAAAATCTATATTTCGGAACTTCCGCCGCTTACCTTGCTTATGCAAGGAGAAAATTCAGCTAGCCAAATATTAACAACAACATAATGTTAATGAACAACAAATCCTATATTAAGGCAGGCTATGCCCTAAAACAACTATCTACTCCTCAAACAACAAAAAAGACCTAATTATACTTGGAGGTTATCTAAAAAACAACAACAAACATATTTTAAATATCGGTGTTTTCAAATCCAAAAACAACACGAATAAAATAATCGCACAATAAACCAAAGAGCCTCAACCTCATACCCAATACCAATAAAATATATGCAAACTCTTTATATGTCAATACCAAAAACATAATATTGTCCAAATAATAATTTCCAAATTAAATTTCCATTCATCAATTTAACAATATTATTTCCTCCTTATTTAGGAAAATATGGTCGTTACTTTTCAACCAAAATCTTCGAAACACAATTATTTATATCATTTTTGTTCAAATCACATATTCAAGTGTATGCATTTGCTTTGCGGCTATTGGAAGAGCCGATTTGCGGCGCAACCCCAGCCACACAGCATTCTATACTCCATATTTTGCCTTTTGAATCTGTTTGCTCAGACTTCAGGATGCACTTCACTGCCACAGAGAGTCTGCAGCTTGCCTACCTATCGCCACGGCTCGCAGTGCCACTTAGGCTCTCAGAGATTGAGACGGAATCGCAGGGCGTGTGTCGCACTGGCGCTTTGGCTGAAGGGGTAAGTGGCGAGCCCAAGTTTGAATTGAGTCACTTCTTTGCATCTAGCTACTTACAGCTTTCAGGTTCTGGCGGCTCGTGGGAGTGCCAGGCGCGGATGCTTGCAGTCCTTCCCAGAAACCTTCAGTCCTTCCCAGAAACGTTGAAGCACCTTGCAGTTGGAGGCATAGTAATGTGTAGCATCCCGCCTATCCCTTTTGGCAGGCGGCGAGGATGTGGCACCAAGGCCACGATCCAGGATGAGGCGAGCGCTCCAAAGACCTGATATTGAACAACTGGTTCCCGCCATCCCCCCCTTTGTACACAACACTTGTTTTTACTCCTTGTGGAGGTCCCGGACCCGGAAGGAGCTGTAGGCAAGCTGGTGTACATGGTGGAACCAAGAGTAAACGAAGCACGTCTTGGATAAATCGCGGCATTCACGGTTCTGCCGGCCACTGCATGGCAAGGCAGGCCGCCTCATGTGTGCGCGACGCAGGCGGCGGCGGCGGTTGTGGCTCACAGCTTCTTCGTGGCCATGTGCGACAACAGCTGGCCTCGGCCTTCAGGGCCCTCAATGAAGAAGATCGAGCAGGAGGCGCATTCCTTTGAGCTCTGCCCCAACCCACATTCAGAGGAACATGTCAAGGAGCCTGAAGACGAATTGGCAAATGTATGCCAGGAGTCAACAGCTGGCATTTCATGCACCTCACAATGTGCGTTGCATGGTGATAGGCTCAAGTTTAAAACGCCTAGGGCGCCAGCTGATACGAGACAGAAGACCAGCAAAACGGCCATGTCCATGTCTATGTCTGGTTTCCGTGGTAAGGTGCTTGTCGGGCTCTTGGCCGGGTTTGTCCCCTGCTTATCGACAGAGACGACATGTGACAACTCCATACTCTTGCAGCACAAGACCTCGCGACGCGGAGGCGACGCAGGCTTCCAAAGCGTGCAGGAAGCTGCTTTGGCCCA